ACTGAACACAAGATACATGTAAATTTCTTTTACATCTTCATGTAATGTAAGTATTCTATAGAACATATTAACTGAGGAAAAAACTTCTGCATTAAAGTAGAAAAAATACATACACATTTTGCAATAATTGTAAACTAGAACTGCCACTATCATGGCGTGAATACCCCCGCATACCACTTTGTCAGAATCAACAGTGGCCATTTAGAGCTCAATGACAACCTCCCTGCCAAATCTGAGGTTACTAAGCCAGTGCATTGCTAAGTTATGTATTCTACATGCTTCAAATGTGAAAATGTCAAAATCAATACATTGCGGACAGGACATTCTTTAGCAATTGAGAAGAAAAGCTTTTTTTGTCAAGGTCCCTGTGACCTTGACCTTTGACCCAGTGACCTCAAAATCAATAGGGGTCACCTTATAGTCATGATCAACATCCATACCAAATATGAAGACTGTGGGTCAAAGGAATCTTAAGTAAATGGGTGGACAAACTTTTTGAAGTCAAAGTCCCTATGACCTTGACCTTTGATCCAGTGACCTCAAAATCAAAAGGGGTCATCTACTAATCATGATCAACATCCATGTCAAATATGAAGACTGTGGGTCAAAGGAATCTAATGTTATTGGGCAGACAAAGTTTTTGAAGTCAAAGTCCCTGTGACCTTGACCTTTGACCTGGTGACCTCAAAATCAATAGGGGTCATCTACTAATCATGACTAACCTCCATGCCAAATATGACGACTGTAGGTCAAAGGAATCTTAAGTTATTGGGCAGACAAGCTTTTTGCAGTCAAGGCCCCTGTGACCTTGACCTTTGACCTGGTGACCTCAAAATCAATAGGGTCATCTACTAATCATGACTAACCTCCATGTCAAATATGAAGACTAAGGGTCAAAGGAATCTTAAGTTATTGGGCGGACAAGCTTTTTGAAGTCAAGGCCCCTGTGACCTTGACCTTTGACCTAGTGACCTCAAAATCAATAGGGGTCATCTACTAATCATGACTAACCTCCATGCCAAATATGAAGACTAAGGGTCAAAGGAATCTTAAGTTATTGGGCGGACAAGCTTTTTTGAAGTCAAGGCCCCTGTGACCTTGACCTTTGACCTAGTGACCTCAAAATCAATAGGGGTCATCTACTAATCATGACTAACCTCCATGCCAAATATGAAGACTAAGCGTCAAAGGAATTCTTAAGTTATTGGGGCGTACAAGCTTTTTTGAAGTCAAGGCCCCTGTGACCTTGACCTTTGACCTAGTGACCTCAAAATCAATAGGGGCCATCTACTAATCATGACTAAGCTCCATGCCAAATATGAAGACTAAGGGTCAAAGGAATCTTAAGTTATTGGGCGGACAAGAAAAAACCGACGGACGGACGGCCGGACGGACAGCCGGACGGACGGACAAGCTGATTCCAGTATACCCCCCTTACAACTTTGTTGTGCGGGGGTAAAATATAAGCAGATATGACTAACAGTCCTTATTATAACTCAAGCACTCTGAGACAAGAAAATTACTTATCATATGTATTTTAAGATGTTTATGACAATACATGATGAAGGTATTTATTATATAACCAACTGACTATAAAATCATTCCCCTGTCAATTCAGAATACAAAATCAATTTTGTTTTTGGTAGGATAGCCAATATCAAAATTACTAATATTTTTTCTATCAATATGTCACATACAAAAATATGTTCTTTGGAACTTATGAATACAGTAGAAGTCTCCCCTTAGCAATTATAAATACAAGATTTATAAGTCAGAAATTTATAAAAGATTTCAAGAAAATCTTGTTCAACTTAATCTTTGTTTAAACAATGACTTAAACAGAGTTCAAGTATTTATCTTTCTTATAAAACTGCTACATGTACTGGAATGTTTAGCAAGAAGCATATGAGACATGTTACTTGTTGCAGAGAGTAACTGGAATGTATATTTATATATTAATAGAATGTTAAATATGTACCAGTGTTATTCACTTAAAATACAAGTGTTACCCATTTCAAAGACAATATAGCCACAGGGAATTAATTCATTATTTCTTTGTTTTACATGTTATATTAATATAAATCTATCAACTGAAGTGAAGAACCCGCTTGACATTCTAAGTTTTCATAATCTGTTGGTTTTTTTTTTAATTTTTGGTCTGTCTTTTATGAATTTTGAAATTTTTGAGATAAAAATATTTAAATCTTTGCAATACATATAGTCAGGTCAAACTACACATGGATGTCTTGACTGGCCTGATTCTAAGACTATACATTGCAATAAAAATTTAAAGAGGCTATTCTATCTGTGACCAAGAAATAACCCATAAAATATTCATGTAACATACGTTCAAGTTCAAGATCTTTTTTTAAAGGGGCAATTCCATAAAAATTATTTAATGGATAAATGTACAGAAATCGTTTATACATACATGCATGTTTTATATGTTTTCAATATGACACACATAAAATTACTTAAACGTCAAATTACACAAGGATGTCTATGTCAAATAGATAAAAACAGGGAATTATATTCAAAAATAAAATTGCACCATTTAAATTACAGAATATCACGTCCTACAACATCAAAAACACTGCAACAACATGTAGGTATAAAATAATGGTAAACATATTTCAATTTGTTGTAAAAAAGTCTAAGGATAAAACTTATAGAGTACAATGTACCGGAACTGAATTTTGGCATAACAACACAATTTGCACTGGAATGTGAGATGATTGTCAAGCTTCTAGAACTACTTAAATACTCATACTTAATGTCTAACACTGATAACATTGATACAGCAGACTAGTTTTAAAGCTGGATAACCATACAGATAGTGAACATTTTACCCTTCAATTTAACTCAAAAATCAAAATATAAGACATATAAAAATTTTTCAAAAATAAAGATGAGGCAAAAAATTTAAATTTAAAAAATAATATAGTTAAATTATCCAAAATACTCACTGGAAATAATTCTGGTTATCTTTTTGGGTTTTTTTTAATGAAAACATGAAAGTCTTTATCATTTTAGGCATATTTAATTTTAAGCTAGACATTTTCCATTATCAACTTTTGATTAATTATCATCAAAAACAGTCAATCTTCAGATTTTTGGGCAGTTCAGCTCAATTGACAATGAAAAATAAGCATAATGTTCCTTTTAAACCTGGTAAGCAAAATTTCATTTCTGGATTCTTTGCAGAAATTACAAAAAATCCTTAAAATGCAATTAAGTGACAATATTCAGAAATGTAAGCACCAAATTGTGTAGTCGCATAGCCAATTCTATCATTATAAGTATACATTTTATGAGTGTGTAAAAACATGTTCCATAATTTTTCAAAAAAAAAAAAACCTGACTGACCTGTGAAATATTTTAACTTACCTTCTGGCTGCAAATGAATCTACCCGTGCAACCAGTACAGACTATAAGATAAGCTGACACAGCCAGTAGTTATTTTAAAATTTCCCTTAAAAATGATGAATGGTTTTGTCCAAACTGAAAGATGGACAAGTCCATTTAAGATATTTAGTAAGGAAAGAGTCAAATGCATAACAAAGATCACCTTGAGCTATAACATTGCATGGCAGTACAATTAACAACATGTATCTATATATGTTCAAGCACCTTTAGTGGCATAAGTAAACAAACAAAATAGTTTTACAAACATTGCAGTACCTAAATATAAACAACAAATTTGTTGTTACCTTAACCTTTAGCTACTTATTTTTAAACTTACTTTACAAATTAAAGGGACTCCACTGAGTTTTTTTTTTGACATAAAGGAACAGAAAATATTTTTTCAAGATTTTTGTATAACTAGATGTAAGTCTAGACCTGTATAACTTGTGTACACAATTAAAGATTGTTAGCTCACTCCGTTTTCCAGAAATAATCAATTTTATTGTGAAAATTGGTTCAAGAAAATGAAAAGTGTTGCAATGCTTTTCACTCAAATCGGCCAAAAATCGCATAAAAATCGAATTTTATACCATGCATATTTATACATCATCTATTGCTTGCTTTTCAAACTTAAGTGTATTAGTTGGTAGTACAAAATTTTTAGCCACATGGTACACTTGAATTAACAGTAAGAATAACTCCCAATAGCCTAGGGGAAACTAACATTACAAAAATTGTGAGGGGTTATAATACACAAAGTAGTCAGACTGCACAGATGTGACGACTTGTCTGACGATATTATATTGGCATAAGCGAATCACTATTAATGCTCGCAGTTACAAAGCTACAAATTAATAAAAGAACACATTACAGAACAGAACAATAATATAGAGGAAGCTTATGTTTGGCACACTTATATAAATACTTCAAATGATGAGAAAACTTAAGCTTAACTGATTAGAGAAGCAAGCTTATATGGACAGCAGTTTGATAAATTTATAAAACATTCATCAGTTAGTCATCAATCTAAAATTTGAACAGTTTCAACCTCTAAAATGAATATTGAATGTTTTGTTTTTGTTGTTTTTCTTCTTCAAATGAACTGGAACGTGGCCAATTACTCAATTATAGATATATTGTTTATTTTCAAAGCCATAAATATTCATAAGAAAAAATCTGAAATTTGTTGTAAAATGATCGATTGTAAAATGATTGACTATATAGATTGGCTTCAAGCAGTATTCAATATATAATTTAGTACCTAACCTATGTTTATATTCTATGGCTATTTTTTAGAGAATAACAATAAAAATTCCACAACCTTAGATAACAGCTCTAATAAGAAGTTTCTCTGTAACAATTCTAAACAGTTTGTATTTTACAGTGAAATCATAATAATTTTAGGCAGACTTTGTATCCATACATTTCATATTATTCTTTAAATACTAAAGGAAAGAAGGTCACTATAGAAATGTTATTATTTCAGTTTGCGAGGACAAGAGGACAAACTGGAGTGACAAAAATCTGACATCTTGTAAGCTTAAAAACTTAATGTTGACTAAATATGTTTAAGAGACTAGTCAATTTATCTATGATAAAGTAAAAGTTGTAATTTATTTGTTCCAGTTTAAAATCATTACTATTGCATAACATATGATATCTATAAAACAGCCTAAGTAAGATGTTACCGTCTCCATTACAATGTAGTCAGCCACATTTATTTGCCTTAACCACAAAATATCTGCCAGTAAATGAGCTGTGTCACGACAAAACCAACATAATGGGTTTGGGACCAGCATGGATCCAGACCAGCCTGCGCATCTGCGCAGTCTGATCAGGATCCATGCTGTTCGCTATCGGTTTCTCTACTTGTTATAGAGTTGGTAAGCAAACAGCATGGATCCTGATCAGACTGTGCGAAGGCGCAGGCTGGTCTGGATCCATGCTGGTCGCAAACCCATTATGTTGGTTTTGTCATGACGCGGCTCAAATTATGATGTTTTCACTGTATGTACATGTGTGATACAACTATGTTTCCTGTAATCTTGGATGTAGATGTGTAAGAATAAAACAAGCGATGTCTTTATTAGACCAGTATGCTGTATGAGATGTAACCATGGAGATATAACCACTTGTCAGACCTCCACTGTCTCGTAGTTGGTAGTCAAGTCTGTACTCGAGATCTGTATATACAAAATAAAATGTTAAGGCATGTTATTCCCCACAATTTATACATGTTCTGTTAGCAAAAATGATAAGTCAAATTAATAATTTACTCAATTATAAAGCAGCATAACGACTTAATCCCTCAAATTAAAAATTATAAAAGCATCCTGATGCAAAATCCAAATTTCAGCCCTAAGAAGTAATTACAGCCATTTTATCATGCAATGAAATAAAAATATCAACAAATTCTGTTTAAACTGCCAATACAAAGCAAACTTTAGTGATTATGCTAGTATGGTATAATTATGATATTAATATTTGTAATTTTTAGTGAAATGTCTATATTAGTATGAGAGAGAGAAAGCTTTGACCACTCACAGAAAATAAGACAAGATGTTACAATGTGAGACCATTGCTAGATTAAGCATTGTCCTAGCTTGTGACAGCTTAATAAAACCTGTTACCAGAATTAACAAGCCCCATTTCTAAATATGAATCAACCATCTTATTAATTATATAATTATTTGTGACATGTTATTTAACACAAATTTTGAATATTAACAGAAAGGGCCTACAGTTTCAAAATCTGAGGTCTATTTTAATAATATCCTTTACTAAGTAACTTGCTTTATAAGAGATTCATAAGGAACTCAAAATGAACTACAGCAAAACAGTTTGAGAATACATATCAACAGATAAAGCTTAAGTGACCATTGTGACCCTTAAACCTTGATAATTATGCAACAATCAGCTTTAACAATGAAGTAGAACCACCAACTTCAAAGTGCAGATAGATATATTCATTTTTGGTACCCAAACTGATCATGAACACTTACAGAATAAAAGACAGACAAATGCATTAACAATAATTACCATATTAGCCATGTACACCACCTAAACAAATATTAGAATAAATACAACAAATACATATGTATGGAGAGAAAAAATATTTGCACTTGTTTGACCTGTATGATCGATATCCTCCATTGATGACGTCTGCTGTGTACATTTAGACATAGATGACTTTTGCAAGATTTCAGCCTCCTTCTCGAGTTTGTTTAACATTTTGAGCTCAGCAGTCATGCTATCATTATCCATGCTCATGCTCTTTGTTATTGTACTAAACCAACCACCAACTGTATTATTCACTACGGTAAAAGGGAGAAAACAATAGTATGGTAAAGCGTTCTTCTTACTTTATCAATCATTTAATTCACTGTACCATGTAATTCATTAGAATATCATATATAATTGATACCATAAGTATTTTATTTCCCCTCAATTCTTGGATTTACTTTAAATACCACAATTACCTATATGATACAGGAAGGTCCCACATTATTCAAGTAATCAGTTAAAATGCTATGGTTAATAAATTAAGAAAACGAGAAGAAAGAAAGTCTGTCACCAATATGAACATACAGTTTAAGCATTTATTGCCACAAAAGATAAACATGTTAGTTATTACTAAAGAAAAGAAAAGAATATTTCCCTGGTAGCCTAGCATATAGGAACATGTATCTGTAAATATACTTTGTCATACATTACAGTATATTTTGTACTTAATTATTATGTAAAAAATGGTATTACTCATACCATAAAAAAATCAGAATTTATTGTTAACATAATTTTTTTTAAAACATAATACAAGTATTCTTACTGAATTACAGATATTCAATAATGATTTTATTTTTTTTATTTTTTAGTAAGCCATTAAGTTATGTATAATTTCAATTAAGCCATTATATGGTTTAATTGGATTGTATAACTTGATATACAAGTATTCTGATGATCGAGTTACATGTACACATGTAAGTAAGTACTTTTGCGGTATTTGCTGAGAAAGCAAAAATAATGTCCCTGCAAAGACATTCTTCCAGTACCCTATCAGAACTCTCTATGCAGAAAATAGTAAAATACATAATAAAATATATTTCCTTCACCAAGAAATAGAATCTAAAGAAAATAAAGAAACATAATAATGGGAAAACATAATGTATGCAAGAAAGTACAGTAACTGTCTACTATTTATGTTTCACACATGTTAGTAAATGAATTTATTATACATAAAGTATCAACTTGATTACTATATATATATATATATATCACACCAATAAAATGACAAGGTGTAAATTATTTTCTAATGCCACTTAATAATACATTTTTGACTGAAGTTAACAATTGCAAATAGCTGGATTTGAAAAAAAAATTTATACTGTGTAACTGGTAATTTATTACAATAACTTGAGTCTTAAGTCAGGAATTAAGTTTACACACCTCCTCTATTATTTGTGGCAGGTCTATATTTTTTAGATTGACCTGTTACACAAAAGAAAATCAGTTATGAACTCTATCTTTTGCACATGCAGAGGTCTAACCTTGGCAGAGACTCAATTCCCTAGAATTAGAGTTTTGACATTTTCCTAGAACTAGAGCTCTGAAACTTCCCTAGAACTAGAGTTTTGACATTTTCCTAGAACTAGAGCTCTGAAACTTCCCTAGAACTAGAGTTTGACATTTTCCTAGAACTATAGTTTCGACATTTCCCTCGAACTAGAGTTTTGACACTTCCCTAGAACCATGCATTCTAATATCTGACATTTAACTAGAGAAGTTTGCTATAATGAATAATAATTTTTCTATAAAGATTTTTCTATAAGTTTTGCATTTCTCATCATTATCTTTATATATATTTTATCTTTAGAATATAATAGTACAAGAATTTGTAAGTATGTAAATGTTAGCTGTTAACTGTAAATTTTCTCCTACCTTTGGTCATTGATAGTTTTGCTTTGACTGGAGATCCATCTTTGGAAGTAGAGGAAGTAGCACTATCAACACTTTCCTTATCTGACACGTCACATTTCTCATCTATTACTTCTGTTGATCCCTGAAATAAATCACATATCAATCAAATCCTGAAATATATATAGAAGATTTATTTCCATTCACAACATCAAGAGACAGAGAGATTTTATTACAATGTGACAGTATTTAGTATAGGATTTTACTACATAATTATATTTACATGTTACAATGATTTTGTTTTGTTTTACAATATATTAATAGTTTGGGCATTAATCAAAACATGTGTTTCAATAAGCTTATAGCTTCCAACACAATCGAACTAAAATAAATTTGTATAAACTAAACCATGCAGTTATAAAAGTTGTGAAAGCATGATTGGGTGAATTAGTTCATTCATTCTAAGATGTAAATATTACCTGACAGCATGGTTCATGACATGCATTGATATAATTCAATGTGCAGTTTGCATAAATCATTTAAAAAATATATGTATTTCTCCACAGAATCTGCCAAATGCAACTAGTGCAGACCAATATCAGGCTGGCAAATCCTTGTCATCAATGTCGTCGGATCATAATCTATTCAGTCAGTACATATATAAAGTTTCCCTAAATATGGTGAACAGTCCTTTTAAAATATTTTATCAGTTATAAAGATTTTTGAAAAGTTATATGGCTCTATATAAATGGTTGCTTGTATATATGACCCAAGCCATAAGACAAGGGCTGTAATGTTAGTGACCATTTACATATGACCAAATAACCTGTCAAGAATATTTATGGACAATTTTAAATGCTGCAAACTTCCTTTAATAGAGAAAAAAATTACTTTAGAAATTGACTGCAGCCATGTATATAGATTGTATCATATATAAAGATTATAATTATAAACATCACAATTAATCAATGAAAAGTGATATTACAAACTTGCAGTACTATAAGAATTAATATAAACTGATGTAAAGCAATACTTGGAAGGCAGCAAATGCAGTACATTCCATCTTGGTATACTGAATTTTGTTTGGAGAATCATATCTATGGATGACTAGTGGTTTCACAGTGGCATAATGCTTAAGTATGAGAGGTTCTAATCTGTAGGCCTGTAATGAAACATTATAACATTTTTAGCACTACAATATTTTACTAATTAGAATCAGATATTTATTACAGAAATCTAATATCAGGTATTACTGAGTATAAAGTTCTTGTACATGTAAATTTATTATAAGGTAGTTTTGACACACCTTTCCAAACAGTACAAAGTGAGAGAAGACCAAATGTTGTGGAATCCGATCAGGCACGATATATGGCCTAGTAAATTTTAGTATTCACATGAATTTTTTTATTTGTGACAGTTCCAAATTAAAAGCAGAAAAGTCTGTCATAAAAACTCAGCAAGGAATTAAGGTAATAACAGGTCTTACATCTACTTAAAAAGAAATTATCTCCTTAACATTGTCATTATTGATATTATTAGAGAAGTACTGTAATAGGAATTATTTTATAATTTCTTTCATAAACAATTAGTGAAATAGTGTTTAACTGCAAAGACAAAAAATAAAAATAAGCTTATTGTTTGAGCAAATTGTAACAATAAAAATTATTCTATAAACTAATATTGAAATTAAAGGTTAATTTAATCAATAACAATAAAGTATTAGTTTATCGAAAACAAGTAAAATTGATAGATCCTTATTCTGAAGTTTTATTTGAATAACAATAGATTCAACCACAAACTTTGATATGTGCTCTTTTGTTAACAAATAGGTTGTGGTGAAATTCTTATTGTGTCCACTAATCTGATAATTAGAATTAGACAGGTCAGGGATCTATGCATTCAGATTATCTTATACAACAAACAGTGAAATAAGTGTTCTTACCACAGGATCAGCAGGATGGTAGACATTAAAAAGTCTTTTACAAGCACCTTTAGGTATCAGATGATCCAGGGTCCCCTTACCTTGAGGGCGAAGGCCTCTTAATGCAAGAAAAACACCTAGTGGGGAGCCCAAACAAAACAGATTCTCCACCTAGAAAATCAGGCAAAAATATTTATAAAATATCAACTGGAACACAACACAGTCAAACCTGCAAAAAAAGGTTGTCTAAGATAGAGACTGAACATGGCCTTTATAGACAAACGGTCTTTATTTAGAGGTAACTCTAATCTATTAATTCAATGAAGGTTTGGCCAAAAGTGACTTTTTTACAAGAAGCTCTTTAAAAACAGATGGTCTTTAACACAGTTTTGACTGTATGTCTAAAGTAAACAAGTACTTAAAGAAAAACAAAAATATTAAATATCAGGCCTTCCTCCTTCAATCTTAATTAAGTTCTACATCTACATCATTCTCAATCTGCATCTGTTTTCATAATTTCAAATAAAAAACATATTAGTATGTACTAGTAATGCCTGATTGTTTTTCTCCCAAGCTTAAAACTAGACATATATTACTGCAAACAAACACATGGTTAATTATTGAAACTGTGTAGGCTAAACTCTTAGCTATTATAATAAGCTCTTATACTTGGGATTCAATGTATCTCTAATAATATACAAACACTTAGAAGCATAATATAAAAGAAAAGCCGTGGAAATATTACATTTTGTCCAAACAAAGTTTCCAAAGTACTTTTCTTTCATATCAATAACAAATCTTGCTACAAAAGCACTACATATGTTTTTAATCTTATACTGGGTTATAATCTGTATGATAATTATCTATATAAGCAATATAGACTTCCTTGTATATAAGCTACACAAACAATCTTGTCTTACTAAGCTAATGAGTATAAATTATTTCTAATATGAACTTGATGCTGACAATCATAACATAATTTCTGGTTGCCAGTACTATATCTGGCATGTCCCTCCCTTTTCATTTCTATCCCTACACGTTTTAAGGTTCCCATTAAAACATTCTAGGTTGACCTACTTTGTGTTGTTGTTTGAAATTATTAGTTCACACCCCTCCCATACACTGCTCTTTATACTCTTTTTCCTCCCCCATTTTTCTGCACTGTTCTTGTTTGGTGCCTGTGACGCTTGGTGTTTTTTTTTCAGTAGTTTTGTTTGTCTAGATATTGTTGGGCAATATCTCTACATTAAAGATACTGAACAGAAGTTCGTTATATTAAATTATTTAAAGTAATGAAGATTATACCTTGATATAGAATATCCCAACAAATATTCTAATAATCATTATACACAGTCTTTATGCTAACCCATAAACCATCTCTGCAGACATTACATCACTCAAATGATTTATTTTGTCAAAATATTTGGGTACACTCATACATTTTAGCACAATAAATCAGCATTATAAAGCTATTTCTACAAGCATGAGATTGTTTACACAAAAACTTCCATTCAATTACTTTTACTTTTAATGCTCTAATTAAAATAAAGTACAATTATGTGTTAGGGATGGCAATAAGTGACCAGTTTTTGAGTATTTGATCAAACGTTTGAATATTGGTTAGCAAAATTGATACTTGAGTAGCCAGTAGAATAAAAGAATCACTTCATTTTCCATCGTAATGTGATTATAATAAAATAAAATAAATTATTGTCTCCTTATTTCGTGACAGCTTTGACATAAATTGCAGACATATAAATATATTATGGTTATAGTATACACTTTTAAAGACGTAAGAAATGATCCAAGCAACTGAATCAGGTGATGACCAATTACTCAAATACTGAAATTGGTACATGTTGCCTTCCCTATTATATATGTAATTATCTTGACCTATGTGGCTCTTAAGCCATTCTACCTAGCTTCCAGATATTTATATATTATACATCACATCTAGCTTCTAATAAGATACAAACTTTTATCCACTGCATGCTTAAACACCACATTCCAATCTAATACCTAGGGTGGGTTTTAAACTGAAAATTTTTCAACATTTACCAAAATAAAATTCATTACTTGGGTGCTTATTTTGAAATAATTTTAGATACCCCCAAAAAACAACCCCATGTCACACCTGGGCCAGTTTTCCACAAGGGCCCCCAAAAAAAAAAATTGGTGAATTTCCCCTTTACTCATCGTCACCATTCATTTGCCTTAAACCCATTTGTCAAAAGTTTGACAAACTGGTTTTAAAACCCCATTTATCTGAAGTTCCCTTTGTTACCTTGACTTTTAAGCTATAGTCATGGTCCTTAAACATGCTGTGACATTTCATTATGGTTTCTATTTCTGATAAATTATTTCAAAATCCAAAATGAAATGTCAGAGGACAAATTGTTTTGACCAATAGTTGACATTATAACCTCAAAGGGGACTAACCTTGATCTTGGTTTTACACACATAACATACTGTCTCACTTATCTACAATTTGGAGTCTGGACAATCTGTTTTAGCAAATATTTGAAATTTAACCTTAAATTTGGCCATGACCTTCTAAAACCTTGACAAATTGTTTTAGACCAATATTTGACTTTATTACCTCAAAAACTGTGTGTGACGTTGATCTAACTGTTACACCCATAACAAAACATTGTCTCACCTTACACAATATATTTCAAAATAATCCATCAAATAAAAGAGTAAATGTCTGGACAATCTGTTATAGACCAATATTTGAAATTTAATCTTAAGTTAGACCTTGACCTTTGAGTTTCACATAATTGTTCATGTGCATGACACACTGTCTCATCATGATGAACATTTTGCTATGTTATTTTAAAGATGTTTTCGGGAGTTTTCGTATAGACATATAGGCAAAATTAAAACTATTCAATAGAATTTCTTTAAACTTGGCATGTTGTTAGAATATGATAACAGAAACATTTTAAGCGGAAAAAAAAATTGGGGTCACCGCACTCGTTTTTGAGTTATCTGCCCTTGAATTGGACTTTTTTTTTTAAATTCAAGTGCAGATAATTTACAATGAATGGAAACAATACATTTTTTTTCCCTAATTTTCATGAAGCATACCTTCGTTTTAGTTGATATGCAAAATTTCAAGAAAAAATTTAGAGTGGGTAGTTTTTATTCCTACTTCTTCATTTTACCTGTGCATTTTTTCTTAAAAAATGGCCTATTTTTTAAGAATTTAAAGTACCTTTATTTTCATTAAAAAAAATTAACAGAAACGATGTAAGGAATTGCATGTTATTATGTATTGTACTCAACAATGAAAAGAAAAGCATAATCCAGAAGTAAAAACAAGAATTCATTTAAGTATGTATAAGTTATCTGCCCTTGAAATGACCTCAAATAAGTAGAAAAGTCTGATTCAGGGGCAGATAACTCAAAAACAAGAATGGTGACCCCAATTTTTTTTCTGCTTAAAATGTTTCTGTTATCATATTCTAACAACATGCCAAGTTTATAGAAATTCTATTGAATAGTTTTAATTTTGCCTATATGTCTATTATGAAAACTCCCGAAAACGTCCTTAAAACCTTCCATAAGATAAATTATTATGTATATGTTTTATACTAAAACTTTTTGATAACAATACTTAGCATTAACCCGAAAGTGTGTTTGTTTTGTTTTTTTGGGTTTTACGTCACATCGACACAGTATAGGTCATATCGCGACGTTCCAGCTTTACTGGTGGACCCGAAAGTGTGACCTTGACAGTTAACATATTATTCTTGTACTTAAAGGGCACACATCATCTCATTAAACTTGACATTTGTGCCAAGTAATTTATGAATCCCTTAATCAAAAGTCAAGACAAGCAAAAGCCAATCATTTCAGAACTTTGAGCCCTTGGCATTATCTAACATTGCAGCTTTTTTATATTGTTTTTTTGTTACACCAACACAGTACAGGTCTTATGGCGACTTTCCAGCTTTACTGGTGGCACAAATGGGCACCTGAGAACATATGAGCTAAGTTTCTGATTGATCTATGGTAAAGTTACAATGAGGACAACAGTAGACAAGCTCTTATGCACCCGCACACACTGAACTGTCATTATAAATAAATTAAGCTAACTGCCAGATGGCACAACAATAATTATGACCACTTTTATCTTAACTTATACTTTTCTTTTTTTCACAACTGCATATTAAAACATGTTACGCTTTTTTAACATATCAATATAGCTGAATCTATACTGATTTTGTAATAAAAATAACACTATGAATATAAAAGAAAATCAGCAAGCTTTCAACCAGGAACACACTAAAAGAACTTTATCTTGAAAGAAACAAACCTTGAATTTGAGGGGAGAGGCACTTGAATGCTGTTTATCATGAATATCTGAGAGTAGTTTCTCAAGTTCTGTAACTCTGCAATAGTAGATATTACCGTCATTTATGATTTCTCAGAATAAAAAGAAACATTTAAACATGATAAGGCAAAAATACTTATTATTGTTGTTTATATTTTCTTGTAATTACATAATATTATACAGGTACACAATGTATAAATACTTTTACAACCAAGTTACCTCTACAATGACAGTTTCACTTTTTAGTCTATTTGTCTAATTCCAGCCCAATATTTCAGCATATGTATGAAATCATTATTGTAGTGTAAGTCAATGAAACAATTGCAATGTACACCTTAATGTTTTAAAAAAGAATAACAATTTAAAAATGTATGTATCTATATTTTTTAACAGTTCCGTTTTCAGATTCTTCTTTAACTACAGCAAGATTTTCCCTATTAACAGCAGTATCAAAATAAACCACAGAAAGGGATCAAAAGAACACTATCCTTAAAATTGTGCTCTATCCAATACTTGTATCATAGTTTGGAAACTTTACCATTAAAATGTGTCAGAGTTAAATCCTATACAGTGTGTTAACTGGAGTGTAGGTATTAGTTACCCACACTCACTGTCTGTCTTAGAGCATGCTCATTGATTGCCATATTTTTTTTCTGGGGTTTACTTAATGTGATGACAGGGACAGAGATAATGATAGAAAAGTCATATTCAGGTTACCTTTTCTGAGGTTTCATATTGTGACAACAGGGAATGTGTTTTTCTTATTATATGCCTTTGATACAAAAGAGAAAGAATATCAAAACACTCGGTAATCTGATTTATACTCAAGGGGTATGCCCCATCATACAAATCAGATAAATTTCGATACATTTTATTATAGATGTGAATTAATTAACAAACCTTTTCTTAGCTTTATCAAGGTCATTAAGCATCTCTGATGATGAGCCAGCTTGTTCTCTCTCATCCTCCTGTAATTATAACATATACTCTCATTCTAATCTACAAGTATATATATTACTACCATGATGGTACTATAACCTCCTAAATTTCTTATTTCTCCACCTTTCAGTAGAGCTGTAGAAATGTCTGATATCATATTTTGGGATATTAAGATTTTAAGAAGGTTAGCCAACATTATAGAGCCTATTTAGACTGCTAGTATGCTGGCTGACCAAGCAGTCTTTCCTGGTGGCAAATATTTACCAGTTTTGGTTCCACCAGTTTAAGAGTTAATTAACAAAAGCAAGTGACATAATCAATTGTAGTAAGACAGAATGGCAGATGCAACACTATTACCAGGAATAAAAAATCAAAACAAAGAGACAGTGGTATTAATCATTCTGAGGTTTGGAAAAGCATAATCAACAAGAACTGTCGGAGGACAGCGACACTCGACTATTTGAAAAAGTTGTCACAAGGGTGTTTCATAGAGTATAATAATGCTTACCTATATGAATACATAAAATTGTCCGAAAAGGTACAAAGACTTGTTATTAAGATGTTTTATCGAGTAAATCACTGCTTTATTATTATGAATGCATAAAAAAGGCACAAACCCTTCAGTAGTTATGGAGATACTAGCTTACAAGCAAAAACTTTACCAAGAATTTTTAAGTCAAAAAAGGGGCATAGTTATGCAAAAAAGCAAACAGAGTTACGGGACTTGTGCCAATCATGTAAGATTATTACAGAGAACAAGTGTCTGAAGTTTCAATCCAATCCCTTCAGTAGTTATGGAGATACTTGCTTACACACAAAAACTTAACCAAGAATTTCTAAGTCGAAAAAGGGGCATAATTATGCAAAAAAGCAAATCAAAGTTATGGGACTTATGCTAATCATTGTAGATAATCACAGAGAACAAGTGTGTGAAGTTTCAATCCAATTCCTTCAGTAGTTATGGAGATACTTGCTTACAAACAAAAAAACTTAACCTAAAATTTCTAAGTTTGAAAAAGAGGCATAATTATGCAAAAAAGCAAACAGAGTTATGGGACTTTTTGCCAATCATGTAAGATAATCAGCAGAGAACAAGTGTGTGAAGTGTGTGTGTATTTGCGTTTATTTATACTCGCCACCGGTTGCCCATATGGCGAGTCCTCCAGAAGAGTATTAGTCATTTTAGATTTTGGAGGATAGTGCAATTACAGATACAGAAAGATGCCCCAAATTCCAGAAGCTTCTCCTGGTTCTTTAGCGTGCCAAGTGTTTAAGCACCCATACACGGGACCTCGATTTAAAGTCTCATCCGAAAGACTGATTAGTAATTTTAGTGTGTGAAGTTTCAATTCATTCCCTTAAGTACTTATCAATATACTTGCTTACACACAAAAACTTAAACACAGGGATGTCAACGCCAACAAATGGGTGACTGCATTAGCTCCATTTTTCTGCGAATAGTTGAGCTAAAAATGATAATGTATCAGTATTTATTCACTGAAAATTTTGTTGAGTTTTAAGTAACACTGACACTGTACAGATCATAGTTATAGTTACTTTTTAGGTTTACCAGGGGAGGAAGATCTCAGGCGCACATTTTGACCTAATGTTACTGTGCTGGATAGTTTCTTCATTTAAAATAACCCAAAGTCCCTAACAGGAATCGAACAAACTGTGATGACAGACAAGAAATCATAATAACCACTATGCCACAAAGACCACACACAACAGAAGTGAATCTTTTATATGTTACAGTAGTCAGTATTTGATTCAATCGTATGTGGTGTTTGTGATGTGAGAATATTTAAATATTATACTGATATCATTCAATCTGACTGTTTTAAGTTAAGATTTTCTTTTACTTTAAAGCATGGCAATATTTGAGACTTGACTTTAATGAGATTGTGGAATCATCATATTTCCAAATATCAACATAATGTTTTTTTTTAATATAAACTAATGATAACCACAAAAAATAGAAAGTCAATGAAACAAACCACACAAAACATTTGAAAGCCCAATAATAGCCCAATTATTGTGTTATTTATTAACCAAGGATGGTCATATAAAGTTGATACATTAAGTTTTTGTAGTCACCATTGTAATTCATTAGTTACATATGCCTGAATAACCACTCCATATCCAATCACACTCTCTTACAAACTTACAAAAAATACAATCTAATTAAAATCAGCTCCTAAAATATGCTATGCATTAGGATCTAACATTCACCCATAGACAGTCACCTTCTTGTGGTCTTTCAAACAACCAATCATTGTAGAGCTTTCATTATTTTGAAAGCGATGCAGTTTCTAATTTAACCCTTGGAAAACCAATACTGAGTAGGTAATTTTCAAAATTTCGAGAACAAACATGATGCTGTCCATTTAGCCCACAGGTAAACTGAAAAACAATCTTGCCCATTAAAAATTATCTATATTTTTTCAAGTTAATTTGTTAAATATTACTTTCTAACAAAATCAACAATTTGTTTAACTTCCATGAATAACAGTATTTTGATACTTCTTCTAATGCCTATCTGTAAAAACCAGTTTGGTTGCATGGCTAAATGAAGCTTTCTCGGGTTGATTTAAACATATTTTATTGCCAAAACAGACATAAACATACATGATAACAGTTACAATACAATGACATGACATATTTGGCAAAAGGGTTGACCCACATCCCACAAGCTTTCTTGGGTAATCCGAATTATAAAGAAGGTGAAACATATATGGTCATCATCAGATCTACATGGAAGAAAAAAGTAGATCTGAACTTAAGTCAGATTTACAAAAATATTAATTGTTTTATCATGACATTATGATAACATATAAGTTTGTTTTTACACTGACGGATATAACAATAATATCCTAAGCTGCAACATATATGTTCTATACCTCATGATAATCAATTACAGTAACTAAAATATCTTATATAGATGTATTTAAGTATGACACTTCACGTTTCCTGTAATGACAATAAAGAAGGTTGGTGTACTAGTTTATTTGTAAAGCCACTCCCTGGACTTCCATCATTATACATGTATTTTCAGGCAAACAGCTCAGTGTTGTGTAAAACCATAACATTTTTATCTAACTATAATTCATTGAAACTTTGTTTTCTCTCATGACAGTAAAGTATCTACAGCTAGCTTATCATTCAGGCCATAATTATGCATACCTAGAACTGTCGAAACATTCAATAGTGATAAAGAGCGCAATTGTGATCCCATGACAGCACTGTGATACATAGACCAAACCCTCATGAAAGTTAAGCAGGATATTTAGTGCATTTCATGACATCTGCAATACTTACAAATTTACCTCATAAGTAAGGTATGATTCCATGAACAATCTCTCATGACAGTCAATGGTTACTCTTGAATACAGAAAAGAATTTGCTTTATTTTCAGGTATATTCTTGTTTTTACATAGTCTAGTTCATTACCAAATATTTTCCCTCATTACAATGTTTACTGCTTATCCTCATATATGTCAACCTTTCTCTCATAACAGTGAATACTTCTTATTGTCATACAAAAAAAAACTTTCGCTCATGACAGTGAATACTTTTTATTCTCCTAAAGAAAAACCTTTCCCTCATGACCACAGGCACGGGTATCTGACTTGGGAAGAAAATATGACCACATTTATAAAAAAATATATTATATCTCAAAACCCAAAAACCAAACAAAAATCAGATACCAAAAAAAAAGTGAATAATTTTATAAACTCTGATATACTCTTAACTTATAGTATATTTTTAAGGGAGCTCATGTTCCACTTTTTTTTTCTTTTTTTTTTTGGTTCTTGACATATTTAAGATAAACATAGAGTTTTTTTATCAATGTGGTCATATTTTCTTCCCAGGTCCGATTCTCGTGCCTGTGCTCATGACAATAAAATAAAATAAAATAGCCTTTCTCTCATGACAGTGATACTTTTAAGTCTCATGAAAGTAAATCCTTTCACACATGACAGTGAAGACAGCTCATTCTTATTAATTTCAACCTTTCTCTCATGACAATGAATACCTTTTTACTCTCATGCAAGAAAAAACTTTTACACATGACAGTGAAGACAGCTCATTCTTATTAATGCCAACCTTTCTCTCATGACAGTGAATACTTCTTATTGTCATACAAAAAAACTCTTTCACTCATGACAGTGAAGGACTTATTCTCATGAAAAAAATAACAACTTTTCTCTCATGACAGTGATACTTTTATTATTCCCCCACTTCAAAGAAGAGGGGGTGGGGTATATTGCTTTGCATTTGTCTGTCTGTCGGTCCGTAGACGAAATGGTTTCCGAGTGATAACTAAAGAACCCTTAGGCCTAGGAACTTCAAACTTTGTATGCCCCTATTGATTTTGGGGTCAAGGGGTCAAAGGTCAAGGTCATATTGACCTTGTAAGTAAAAACGGTTTCCGATCAATAACTAAAGAACGCTTAGGCCTAGAAACTTCAAACTTGGTATGGTGATCCGTCATGACCAGTAGATGACCCCTTTTGATATTGGGGTCAAGGAGTCAAAGGTCAAGGTCACATTGACATTGTTAGTAAAAACGGTTTCCGTTCAATAACTAAAGAACACTTAGGCCTAGGAACTTCAAACTTGGTTTGGTGATCAGTCATGACCAGCAGATGACCCCTATTGATTTTTGGGTCAAGGGGTCAAAGGTCAAGGTCACATTGACCTTGTAAGTAAAAACAGTTTCCGGTCAATAACTAAAGGAAGCTTAGGCCTAGGAACTTCAAACTTGGTATGGTGATCGCTCATGACCAGCAGATGACCCCTATTGATTTTTGGGTCAAAGGTCAAGGTCACATTGACCTTGTAAGTAAAAACGGTTTCCGATCAATAACTAAAGAACGCTTAGGCCTAGGAACTTTAAACTTGGTATGGTGATCGGTCATTACCAGCAGATAACCCCTATTGATTTTGGTGTCAAAGGTCAAGGTCACAGCAGATGACAGGTCACAAAGATGAAGGTCACATTGACCTTGTAAGTAAAAAGGATTTCCGATCAATAACTAAAGAACGCTTAGGCCTAGGAACTTCAAACTTGGTATGATGATTGGTCATGACCAGCAGATGACCCCTAATGATTTTGGGGTCAAGGGGTCAAAGGTCAATGTCCTTGTAAGTGAAAACAGTTTCCGATCAATAACTAAAGAACACTTAGGCCTAGGAACTTCAAACTTGGTATGATAATTGGTCATGACCAGCAGATGACCCCTATCGATTTTGGGGTCAAGGGGTCAAGGTCACATTGACCTTGTAGTTGAAAACGGTTTCCGATCAATAACTAAAGAAGGCTTAGGCCTAGGAACTTCAAACTTGGTATGATGATTGGTCATGACCAGCAGATGACCCCTATTGATTTTTGGGTCAAGAGGTTAAGGTCACATTGACTTGAAGTTAAAAACGGTTTCCACTCAATACCAAAAGGATGCTTAGGCCTAGGAACTACATATTTGGTATGATGATTGTTCATGACCAATAGATGAACCCTATTGATTTTGGGGTCAAGGGGTCAAAGGTCAAGGTCACATTGACCTTGTAAGTGAAAACAGTTTACGATTAATAACTAAAGAACACTTAGGCCTAGGAACTTCAAACTTGGTATGATGATTGGTCATGACCAGTAGATGACCCCTATTGATTTTGGGGTCAAGGGATCAGTGTCATATTGACCTTGTACTTAAAGACGGTTTCTGAACAATAACTCAAATTGCCTTGGTTGATATATTTTTATATTAAACTAAAAGGTCTTATGTAATGTAACAACTTGGCTGTCATTAATGAGGCCTACATGATTCATAAAATTTATACAATTATATTATTTGTAATAACTTAAATTGCTGCACACAACCTATGGGGTCACAATAATTATTACCTTGTGACTAGTCATGACCAGTAGATAACCCTTATTAATTTTTTGTTCACTGGGTCAGAAGTCATGCATAATAACCTGATCACATGACTAATTGGCTGCCGATAGGGGGCATACATGTTTTACAAACATATCTTGTTTTTCAGGAAAGTAAAATCTATCTCTATGACAGTGATGACAGCTCATTCTCATTAATGTCAATCTTTCATTCATGACAGTGAATATTTTTATTCTCATGTAACAAAACAACTTTCATTCATGACATTGAACACAGCTCATTCTTATGAGAAAAATAACCTTTTTCTCATGACAGTGATACATTTAATTCTCATGAAAGTAAAATCTTTTGCTCATGACAGTGTTGACAGCTCATTCTTATTAATGTCAACCTTTTGCTCATGACAGTGAATGATTTATTCTCATGAAAACTAGAACTATCACTAAATGTGATTAATACCCCCGCAAGACTGCTTCGGAAATGAGGAAGTTACAATTAACAGAATACCTTGTAAAAGAATTGAAATAGAGTTATGGTTGTGGGCAATTAAAGATAGTTGTGGTTTTTGTATGTTGCATTTCCTTACAATATGGTTGACCATTGATGAAGTTTTATTGAATTACATTTAATCCAGAAAGAGTTACGCTTCTTGAGCACTGCACTTCCTCTCATTGTGCTTGACCATTGTATGAAGTTGCATTGAATTCTAAACATTAATTTTAAGTTATGCACCAGACAAGGAAAAGGAACAAAGGGCAATAACTCTACAAATACTGAAGATGGAGTTATGGTTATTGTACACTGCACTTTCTCTCATTTCGCTTGACCATTGTATGAAGTTGTATTGAATTCCAACTATTAGTTTTCAAGTTATGCACTGGACAAAAAAGTAACAAAGGGCAATAACTGTAATTAGCCAAAATAGAGTTATGCTTCTTCTGCATTGCACTTCATCTCACAGCCCTTGACCGTTGTATGAAGTTTCATTGAATTCCAAACATTAATTTTCAAGTTATGCACTGGACATTAAAAAGTAACAAAGGGCAAAAACTCTTAAATGAGTCAAGAAAGAGTTATGGTTTCTGTGAACTGGGCTTCCTCTCAATATACTTGACCATTGTATGAAATTGTATTGAATTCCAAATAGTACTTTTCAAATTATGCTTTGGACAAGGAAAAAGCAATGGAAAAGTAACAAAGGGCAGTAACTCAATAATTACTCTAGACAGAGTTATGGTTCTTGTGCACTGCACTTCCTCTTAATGTGCTTGACGATTGTATGAAGTTGTATTGAATTCCAACTAGTAGTTTTCAAGTTATGCTCCAGACAAGGAAAAGTAACAAAGGGCAATGACTCTGTAATTAGTGAAGAAAGAGTTATGGTTCTTGTGCACTGCACTTCCTCCCAATGTGCTTGACCATTGTATGAAGTTGTATTGAATTCCAACCATTAGTCTTCAAGTTATGCTCCGGACAAGGAAAATGCAACGGACGTCTGGACAGACTGTCCGACCGACCGACCAACCACTGGGTGACTCCTATATACACCCCCAAAACTTCATTTCAAGGGTATAAAAACACAACTTTTCTCTCATGACAGTAATACTTTTATTTCTCATGACAGTAAAAATCTTTCTCTCATGACAGCGATGACAGCTCATTCTCATGACATTGATGACAGCTTCCTTTTATGAAATTCAACTCTAAAGACTGGCAAACTTCTTCAAATTTAATTTATCAATTTTACTATGATAGTTACCTAGTTATTGTTTGTAATTTAAAGGATGTCAATAGGGACAAAAAATATTATTGGACTCTTAATATGCAATACAAATTTTTGTAAAGAAATTCAAACATGCTTTTTAATGTATATTGTAGTTACCATTTTTACCTCTTTCTGGAATAAATAAATTATCTTTATTATATTCACTGTCATGAATTCAGAACTCTATTAATGCAATAAATAGAAGGAACAAAAATTTCTTTAAAAAGTGGAGCTACATGCCAAATATCTAAGCTCTAGACCATATTGTTCATGCTCATTCATCAGTTTTTTTAAAGATCATTCCTGTAAAGTTATGTCAAAATCAACCAAGTGGTTTAGGTATTAGGACTAGAGGTTGGTTAAAGAACTTGTGGATAACAAAAGATGAAGTGCAACACAGGACTGATGACGGACATCGATGATATCACAAAAACTCTTTGCTAAAAACAGAAACACTACCCAAAATAAAAATATAATGAACACTAATTTGCATCCTGTTCATTTTATAAATTGTTAAAGTTTGCTTTGCATTTCTTATGTACATTTTGCTTTTAGAAGTATAACTTATCCAAAAACAGTTTCATGTTATCACACAAAGCAAATCATATAAGATGGTAAACCTGTAACATAATGATTATTCAATATATCATTGCAATAAAAAGTTATCCATAAAAAGTTATTCCATTATGTGTATTTTATATCTGTACTGGTAAGTTAAGAAGAAAACCCATCAACTATGCAAAATAGCTTTTCTTCATATCTAAGATCTACTGTATATAACTAGTATCTGTTGTAAAGTTGCTATTCAATTCAAAAAGTATTAGCATGATGGAAAAATTGAAAAAAAATTAAAATTTTACTTACGATGACTGATGAGACAAATTGATCATAAAAATGTGATTGGGTTTCAGCCCGTTATGATGTCATAGGTGATAACACAGCCTGATAATACAGGAAACATCAATCTAAAACTTATTTACACAGAATGTGTCCTTAAAATATCTCATCATAAGTAAAGTGAAAGCCTAAGTGTTATGGTGTCTCTCTCTAAACCTATGAATTGTGGATATGAGGTCATGAAGTAAGAACTCTATTAATGGACATGTGGTTTGGGTAACATTCAAGGTTAAAATCCTAATCATGGTCATGAGGTTTTAACACTACTTATGGTGATGACCATGTTTCCTCAGAAAGCAGACCTGAGAGTGGAGGAAATGAGCTAACAGCTTTTTCTCAATGAAATATGAATAAATATGTAAACAGTAAACATGTGAAAACATATCCTTTCTTTTTATTATCTTAAATGATAATGAGGATTAATAGAATTTTAAGGCAATCAAATCAAAATGGTTAAAAAATCTTTTTCTCTTTCAGTTACAAGAGGGATTGCGTGGTATTTCTATGTGATATATAATTAACATACATAATAATACAGAGTTTACCAACAGCTTATATAAACATATCAAAGCTTCAACAGCATTTCAAACAAAAACTTAATAATCATCATTGACAATCAAATCAAATGAAAAAATTCTTTATAAATGTGTCATTTATATACATACCAAGAGAATGAGCAACAACCGAGACTTTTCCACCATTGGGTTCAAAGTAAGGATGTCTCTCACAAAACATATCATACAATCTGTTCAACTCATTTTCTAAACTGTGTGTTATCTAAATATAGTAATTGTCATTAAACAGGTTTTATACCAAGAAGACTAACTAAAGTAAGTAATTTATGGATTAAACAATGAAAAGTATGACCATGAAGACCTAAAGATATGTGTCAAGTGACTTAGTTTAGATAATAAAATGAAGGCTATAACCATTGTTATTTTGTGCAAGAAGAAGAAAGCTGCTGGATACATTAACATAATGTACATTATGACTTGAAATTAAATTCTGCTCAAGGAAATATTTAGAAAATGTTCATTTCCTTTTCATATCTCTTAAAAGTTTGTAAAAAAAACAACATCACATTCATATATTAAAGTAAAAGACAACAACATAAAGCAGTTTTTTCCTTCTCAAACAATAATGCAGTCTTCAATAAATATACAGCAAACATATTGTTTATGATGTCAGACACAATGCTTTGTCAATTGTAATTAAAGAAAACATAGTTTATTGAAGAATAAAGATAAATTATAAAATATTTGGCGAGACTTACCTCTGACCTGTATAATGGACTAGTGTAATACAATACATCCAGAGCACTTGCATTGAGCATAACACGTACTCCCCTCATACGCTGAGGTGTCAAAGATTCAACTGTGTCTGTAAAAAACAATATCTTACCAGGTGTATTTTTACATGTATTGTAACAAGAGCGATCAGTGATCACATGTGTCGCCTCATGATGGCCAATTTCATGTTGGGACAAGTTTTGTGACAGACGGACAGACAGACGGACAGTGCACAACTAGACTTGGTACTAATAATTCCTGTAAAGTTTGGATAAAATTGCACCAGTAGTTTATGAGGAGTAGTCCGGACAAGCTTTTGTGTATCTGGCAAGACACAGGAAAAAACACCTTTTTATCAAAGGGCCATAACTCGGCCAAAAATCATTCAACCGGAAAACCCGTGCAATATGCGCAAGGACTGGAGCTACAGATCAATCCTGTAAAGGGCCATAACTCTGACAAAATCATTGAACCGGAAAATTCTGACAATATGCACAACTAAACTTGGTACACTAAACTTGGTACTGATCATTCCTGTAAAGTTTGGATGAAATTGCACAAGTAGTTTATGAGGAGTAGTCCGGACAAGTTTTGTGACGGACGGACAGATGGACAGACAGACAGACGACGGAGAAGTGATCCCTATATGTCGCCACTACTCCGTAGAGGCAACACAAAATGCTCCAAACAGAGACTAATCAAAAACAAAAGCTTTCACACACAGCATGCTTGACAATTCTTTGTACATAATGACAAACAAGAGCAATATGGGAATTATCTTAATTTATAAAGGGGAATAATTGAATAAAAAGAAATAATGTGAGAGTTATGGATCTTAGTCATTGACTTACAATTATGACCCTAAGACAAGTGTGTAATAAAAATATCAGTGGTTGTGGAAATTTAACAAACATGAAAGTAGAACTCCGCAAGTCGGATGTGTCGCCTTGTGGACAATATAGCTTACATCAGGATTAATAAAACTGTTATATCATCAAAAATAAAAATACCATGGAAAAGTTTTACACTGCAGATCAAATGGAGTACTCTGTGATGGATTCTTAAGCATTGCACTTCAGGTCAATGGAAAAAGCTAATAAACTTAATTCAGTGGCGTACCTACCGATACGCATATACGCAAGGGCGTATAAAAATAAAAAGTTTCGAAAAAAATATAATTTCAAAAATGAAATCATTAATTTGGGCGTAGCTCAATCAACATATTTGTATTCGTAGCTGCTAACTGATTCTACAGGTATGCTTAGGATGTTACCTTATTCGAATATGCCTTACCTTTTTATGCACATTCAAAACTTCAATTATGAAAAAAGGGAGTAAAAATATGATATGAACAATTTCTTTGGAATTTTCTCTTTTTTTTCAGCTTGAGTTAAGCGTTATAATGCTAATAAACCTCGTCAAAATCCAAATAAGGATAAGAAATTGGCCAATATATTACAATCACCTTTTTCAGAAGAATCAAATCATTGAAAAGTAAACATTTTATTTTTTTATATATAGATCTATATGCAAAATAAAAATCTTGTTTGCAATTTGACGTTTCGTCACGATTGGAAGGGAGTCTCAGTGAGCTGTATGGAATGTCTTTTATATTTTACCTTGTAACTATAAATCAGTATATTATTTTTAAGTTAGTAATATTCATTTAACTTATATTCATTTCAAATTATGTAGAATAGTTTTGACACTGTGATTCAGATCTTTGCAGTTAACTATTGCCAACACCCATCGTCACAAACCAAATTCAACTTTTGTTTATTGACTGTAAAAAAGAATACCAGTATTTATAAAATATATCACTACAGAAAATTATATATATATATACATCATTGTTTTCAGAAGTGTGCAATTTTTTTACTCAATAAAATAATACAGTAGAAACATTTTTTTTTTTCAGAAGTGTGCAATTGTTTTACTCAATCTCAATAAAATAATACAGTTGAAACAATTTTCATATATATACATCATTGTTTTCAGAAGTGTGCATTTTTTACTCAATAAAATAATACAGTAGAAACAATTTTCTGTAGTGATATATTTTGTAAATACATACATTTAACTACTTAATGAAATAACTTAAATATTTCGAATGGAAATTGAAAGACTAGAGTTGAGAACAGAAATGTTAAAGACAATATTTATTGTCTACAACATTGACATAATACGCATTAAAAATATTTTAAGGAAGCTAAATGATCATGCGATACTACATTTTAGCTGTGAATATGATAACCTTTCGTTACACTAAACATTTAAGCTGTTGAGTTTGTATTAAAGTCATACAGATCATCTTAAAGCATATTTTCCTTGATTATATCTCACGTTAAGTTATGGTGATACAAAAGAAAAATAACAAAGAAAAAAACTAAACTTAATTGTTACAAAAGGAAATAAAACCCATCTTTTTTACAAGAGACACCTGGCTATGTTTTGTTTTTCTAAAAGTGTAAAAGTGTACACGTTAGACTTCGTGCTATTTCTCTTACATTCAATATATATACTTGATGTTATTTTCATAACTATAGATAATGACAACAGTAGTACAATTAGCTTAAATATTTCCAAAATCCTTAGTTAAAGCTCATAGCTATTTTTGATATATAATTAAGTCTCTGGCGATCCTTCCGCCAAAAAACCGGCACTCGACGTACACTCATGATAAGCCAAGGTACGCCCCTGTAAATTGGATTCCATGAAACTTATAGTGATCAAGTCATGCTCTGGACAAGCCTATTAACCCATTACTTCATGAGCATTTTGTGAAAAATGGCTGTTTTCATTGAAAAGTCTCCCGTTACAAGTTCAAATTGCTATAATACTATAAAAAATGCTTCAACACTAATCAAACTTGGCACAAATGTTGACTGGACCATTGCCCTTGCAACAGCATGCTCAGGCTTAAATTCTCTGTTACCCTGGCAACAAGGGGACATCTCAAAATTGCCAAAAATCACTATTTTGCGTTGATTTTTTCCATCAAAATTGATTTCAAAGTGCTGCAACTTCTCAATGGATTGAGATAGAGTCAAATGCTTTTCAGCTTTGGTTACACGTTACCTTATGATCAATCTGGGGTCATTTATAGCCTCTCACAAGTCCAAAATTTTCTTGGCGATGAGGGGGACCCCTTCAATCCCCTCAAACAGAAGGGGGCGCATCCCCCTTCTGGCACCCCCCTGATGTATCTTTTGGTTGGGGGGCCGCGCCGAAAAAGAGGTCACTTTTTTTAACAACATTTCTCAAACAATAACAAGTGTTGGGGGCCTAAATAAGGCATTTTTTCACCATTTAAGACAACAAAAAGGGGGGGGTGAAAAAGGCGTTAAAAGGCGTTTATATAACGTATTGGGTTAAGTAAGAAAATTAACAAAGGCCAATAATTCAAAAAATTATGAAGTGCAGAATACAAGTTCTTCTCAATAAGATCTTTCATTTTATGAAAGTTCAAGACAATAACAAGTGTAGGAAAATTGGCCCGGACAAAAATAAAGTATTAAAATTAACAAAGGGCAATAACTCTAAAATCATTCAGTTCAGAGTACCGGTTCTTGTGCATTGTACTTCTTCTCAATGAGATCTATCATCCTATGAAGTTTCAAGTCAATAGCTTTCATGGTTTAGGTGAAATGGCTGGGACAAATATAAAGTTAGAAAATTAACAAAGGGCAATAACTCAAAAATCATGAAGTACAGAGTAACAGTTTTTGTGTAGTACACTTCATCTCAATGATATCTATCATCCTATGAAGTTTCATGTCCATAGTTTTTATGGTTTAGGAGAAATGGCCCGGACAAAAATGAAACATGAAAATTAACAATGGGCAATAACTCAAACAAGAGGGCCATGATGGCCCTGAAGTCGCTCACCTGTATATAGGCCCCCGGAGCGGGGCCAGTTTAAACCCCAGGGCTTTTATTTGAACAAACTTGGTAGACACCCATTAGAAGATATTTCATGCTTAACATCTAAGGTCTAGCGGATCAAGTTTTTTTCTTTACACATATAGTTAAAAACAATGACACACCTGGGGAAGGGTCAGTTTTGACCCAAGGGCTTTTATTTGAACAATCTTTGTAGACACTTACTAGAAAATGTTTCATGCTTAATATCTAAACTGTAGCTATTCAGGTTTTTTCAAAGAAGACTTTTAAGTTTTTGCTATACACATATAAGAAAAATCAAAGTCAGCCCGGGCGGGGCCAATTTTGACCCCCAGGGCTTTTATTTGAACAAACTTGGTAGACATCCATTAGAACATGTTTCATGCCAAATATCTAAGCTCTAGCTCTTTGGGTTTTTTAGAAGAAGATTTTTTTAAGTTTTTACAATATGCATATAGGGAAAATCAATGACCCCCTGGGGCGGGCCAATTTTGACCGCAGGGCTTTTATTTGAACAATCTTGGTAGACACTCATTAGAAGATGTTTCATGCTTAATATCTTAGCTCTAGCTCTTTGGGTTCTTTAAAAGAAGAATATTTTAAGTTTTTACTATATGCATATAGGGAAAATCAATGACCCCCTGGGGTGGGGCCAATTTTGACCCTAGGGCTTTTATTTGAACAAATTTGGTAGACACCCATTAGAAAATGTTTCTTGCTAAATATCTTAGCCATAGCTCTTTGGGTTCTTTAAAAGAATTTTGTTTTAAGTTTTAACAATATGCATATAGGGAAAATCAATGACCCCCTGGGGCGGGGCCAATTTTAACCCCAGGGCTTTTATTTGAACAAACTTGGTAGACATCAATTAGAACATGTTTCATGCCAAACATCTAAGCTCTAGCTCTTTGGGTTTTTTAGAAGAAGATTTTTTAAGTTTTTACTATATGCATATAGGGAAAATCAATGACCCCCTTGGGCGGGGCCAATTTTGACCCCAGGGCTTTTATCTGAACAATCTTGGTAGACAACCATTAGAAGATGTTTCATGCTTAATATCTTAACTCTAGCTCTTTGGGTTCTTTAAAAGAAGATTTTTTTAAAGTTTTTACTATATGCATATAGGGAAAATCAATGACCCCCTGGGGCGGGCCAATTTTGACCCCAGGGCTTTTATTTGAACAAACT